TCATTAGAGGGGTAAACACATTGAAAGAAAATATCATCTCTTGAGAGAGATCATTGGTAGATGAGATGTTTTTACAATAAAATTGCTATTGGGAATAACCTTATGGGATCCATTTACAAAGATTGTTGGCTAAGGTTTTCGAGGGACATCTGCAAGGAATTTGTTCCAAGACATGACACATATTCTCTTGAGCAAATGGGAGATTTGTTGGGTTGTGCGCCCAAATACTATAGTTTTGCTGATGTAAAATAACATTTTGATAATAAATAAATTTTGATTTTTATTTATTTTGTGTTATCGTATTTATTTGATATTTTGCATGTGGATTAAAGTGTCTTAATCTCTTGTGATAATGTAAAAGTACCGTGACACAACTTATTGTTTATCATAAATAATTCGTTTACAACCAATGGACAAGGGTGGACACCCTTTACTAAAAAGTTGTAGCATTGACATTTACACCATTCTAATTTGCGATTTTCCCTTATGCAAAAATGGTTAGTAGTGACATTGGAGTGTATGTATTGAATGGTCCACATGTCAAGCTTAATTATATAGCATGACTGTGGGAAGAATTCAATTACACTTGATCGTCAGATATTTCATCTAATTTTTTTTGACATTGTTGTGTATTCTTTTCATGAGTTTACTGATTCTTTGATTCACCAATGGGTGAGATCAGATTGACTAATCAAATATCTAGATGAGTTGAAGCTTGAGAAGAGAAGAGTGGAGAATACAAATTCTTGTTGGAAATATTGCACAAAAATGGGTAAAGTGATTATTTAGGTATTTTTAGTTGAATAGTTATAAATCAGAACTTAATGTTTAGCGATTTATAAACTTCGACATCTGTAATTGGTTCATACGACCGTTGAAGAAAATAGTACTTAAGTTAGTGAGAATAATTAGAAGGAAAAATAGTCATTTATGTGTGTACCTATATATCGGATCTCAGACGAGGTGAAATACATATATAGTAGGCCAGAGAAAAATATTAAAATATATATTAGGTTTTGCAGTCTTATATATTGTGATAGTGCAGTCTTTTGCTTTTAAGAAAAAAA